TGTTATGAATATGGGATTGCTTGCTAGTAGTGTTTTTATCTCCTCTAGTGTGGCAGTTGCCTCATCTGTCCATTCGAAATTTTTGGTCTTTTTGAGCAATCTGTAGAGCGACAAGGCTTTTTCTCCAAGACGGGAGATGAAGCGGCTCAAAGCCGCAACGCAACCTACCAGCTTCTGGATGTGTTTAAGCTCTGTGGGTATTGCCAGCTGGGATAAGGCTCGGATTTTAGCCGTATTGGCCTCTATTCCTCTATGGGAGACAATGAATCCAGGCAGTTTTTCGGCGGGAACTCCGAAGACGCATTTATCCCGGTTGATCTGTATATCGTAGGCTCGCAAATTCTCGATGGTCTGGCGGAGGTCGTTTACCAGCTGGGTGACGAGTTTGGTTTTGATGACCACGTCGTCGACGTATGCTTCAACTGTCTTGCCGATTTGGTTTTCTAGGCATGTTTGAATCATGCGTTGGTATGTGGCACCTGTGTTTTTCAATCCAAAAGGCATTGTGTTGAAGTAGGGACCGTAGGGGGTGATGAAGGCATTTGCTGCATGGTCGGAGTCCTTCATCTTGATTTGATGGTATCCAGAGTATGCATCGAAGAAGCACAGTGAGTCATGTCAGGCAGTGGCGTCGATAATCTGGTCTATCCGAGGCAGAGGGAAGGGATCATTCGAGAAGGCTTTATTGAGGTCTTTAAAGTCGACGCATAGCCGCCAGGATTTGTCCTTTTTGGGCACCATGACCAGGTTTGCCAACCACTCGGGGTGTTTTATTTCTCTGATGAGTCTGGCTTCAATTAATTTGGCTAGCTCTTCTCCCATAGCTTGACGCTTGGGTTCGGAGAATCGTTAAACGCTTGTTTGACTAGCTTGAAGCCTTTAGTTATGTTTAGGTTGTGCTCCACCAGTCTTCGTGGGATTCCCGGCATATCCGAAGGATGCCAGGCGAATATGTCCCAATTCTCACATAGGAATGCACATAACACCTCATTGATCCTGGGGTCTAGCTGGGCTCCAATGGTTGCTGTTTTGTTGGGGTCCGTTGGATGCACTTGGAATTTAATGGTCTCGTTAGCTGGCTTAAAGGATGTGGACTTGGGCCTCTTGCTGAGGGTGGCATCATGCCGATCCACCATTGTGCGGAGTGTGGTTAGTTCCTCGGCTGCCAGGGCCTCAGACAACATTTCTAGGGCGGGAGATGTTGTTTTGTTCTCTGCCCGAAGGGCTCTATTCAGATCGGTCGTGATTGTAATCATGCCATTGGACCCTGGCATTTTTAGTTACATGTACCCGTAATGTGGTACAGCCTGAAATCTTGAGAATGCCTCACGTCCTAACAGGGCGTGGTATCCGCTATGGAAGGGCACAATGTGGAAGAGCAACTCTTCGGACCTGTAGTTCTCCGAAGTGCCGAATACTACATCCGAGGTGACGCGTCCAGGGCAGCGTGCCTCTCGGTCTGGGATAATTCCTCGAAAGGTAGTTCGGCTCTGCTCGACTCAGGATCTATTGAATTGCATTTTATCAAGGGTATTCTCATAAATGAGGTTTAAACCGCTACCTCCATCCATAAGCACCTTGAGTCTAAAGTCGTCCACTATAGGGTCGAGGACTAGTGCGGCAAGTGCTCGGATGGAGCGGCCCCTTGGTTCGTCTTGCTCGTCGAAAGTCATTGATGTGTCAGTCCAGGAGTTTGCGGTTGTGACTTGGTGGACTTGGCCGAGCTCTCAAAGGGCCCTTTTTCTCTAATTGTTTGAGGAGAAAGTTTTGTAGATCACCGAGACATCATCCTCGCCGTATGAGGGTGATCTTCTACTGGGGGTATGAGTCCGAGGATAGATTCACCGCTCTTTGCCACCTGCCTGACCACCCAACAAGCTTGAAGCATGTGGGTTGCGTTTGTATTAAGTAAGGCCGAGTGTATGGGGCATCATTTGTCCAGTAGCTCTTCCAAGACTGTTCTAGGTCTTGTGAGAGATCGAGTCTTCTTTTCGGCGAGCTCGTGTTCGGGCGACCGTCGTGAGTATATGCGCTTTGCCTGAGATTTTCTTGGTTGCTTGGTGTGGGTTGACTCATTCCGCATTTGTTGTGCCTTCCAGGTGCTTTCCATGGCGCAATATTTATGAATCAGGTCCGACAACTCGGAAAAGATTTCCACATGGCGGTGGGTTAAGGCGTTCAAGACAGCCTTATCCTGGCAGTTGAACCGAAAGGCTGCTATTGCTTCTTGATCGCACCAATCTGTCATCTTGTTCTTCACCAGGAGAAATCTGGCCCAGTAGTGATGGACTGTTTCTCCGGGCTGCTGCTTAACGTACATCAAATCCCATGCGACATGGCTTCAGGAATCTGGGGTGTGTGCCGTGTGGTGGGTGGGTGGGAAAAAAACTGCATGCTGCGGCCGGTGGCGTATCCGGGGTTTTAGCGGCGAAGTTGGGTATCCCGAGGGCACCCGGTACACCAAGTGCGGATGCCGAATTGTCCGGGTAATGCGACGTAGGTTCAGGATCGTGCTCTGAATCGAGGTCTAGCCCCAAGCTTTCTTCGGGATGAAAACCAGATTCCCAGCTCGAGGCCTGGACAAGGTCGTCGCTGACCCGAACATTTTTTGTTTTAAGTTTTGGGGACGGTGAGCCTTCGCTCAACTCTTCAATGGTGGCGAGAAGGTGTGTGATGGGTGGGTAACAATTTCCCTGCTGTCGGGCTTGATCCCAATCTATTCGTAAACCGAGGGCTGGCCATTGGAGAGCCCATGGCACGAATCTGGACTAGTAGGTTGTTTAATGACGAGAGATCCGCAGGGTCCATGCTCCTCACATATTCGGCGTTGATACGCAAGACCAACTCCTGGTCTTCGGATGCCAAGGATGTATGACGGCTTGGAGCTAGATCTGGAGAAGGGATGGCGAGTCCGGCAGGGGTTGACTCCCCGTCTTCTGACGTGGAACTCCCATTAAGGCTCAAGGTCGGTTCCACGGTGAGGAGAGAAGGTCCGGACAGGGTTGATTCCTGGTCTTCGACGTAGGAGTTGCTTCCGAGCTCGAAGCCGGTAATGCGGTAAGGGCCGATCCGGAGATCAGATCGGGGAGAGACCCCGGAGTCAATGCTTTGGAGATCATGGTTGTTGCAGGTAAGGCTGAGAAGCTAGTGAAGATCAGATCGCCCCGAGCGTCGATGACGTACTCAAAGTTACCAAACCTGATCTGATGCTCAGAGGCGAAAATGTCGACCTGGTTGAGATGATCGGTCGAGTCAACATGCAGGACGATGTTGTCGAACGCAAAAAGTTGCCTGGGGACAAAGACGCCCTGGCGCTGGCGCCGTCTTCGATATTCAGGCGAGCCATCGATCCTTCGGCGACCCAACATCGGAATTCTCAATAAAAACACCAATGTCGGTGTTAAAACCGGCGGATCTTGGGTAGGGGGTCCCGAACTATGGATCTTGGATCGATGGGGAACAAGGGACGCGGGACACGATATTTACCCAGGTTCGGGCCCTCTCTAAGAGGTAATACCCTACGTCCTGCTCGTTATATTGCTTGTGTATATAGGGATTACAGAGTTGATTTACCACGAGATTAGATGAACTAAACCCTAAACTAATAGGATGGCGGTTGTTCCTCTAGCCTCCACGGACTAAACCCCCTTGTTTATATAGACATCAGGGGTATCAGGGTTTACATATAGTCGGTTACATCAAGGAATGTCAGATCTTCCACCTTGACTTGAGTACACACTAAGGCACAAAAGGTCTTCGGTCCAGATAAAGTGCGGTCCAACAGTCCGGTCCATGTGAGATAGGACCACCTAGTCTAGGACTCTTTCAGCCCCGGCGGATATGGCACCGAAGAAGAGGATGAGGGAACTTAGCCATGTCCATGTTGTCTTCTGCCGGCGCGAAGACATGTGGACACATGGGTGTTCACGTCTAGCTACTAGCTACTGTAGTTTACGTCATCCCGGTTGAGTCCAGCGACACCGGTCCCCGTGGTTGACAAGGACGAAGTGGCGGTTGCCTTGGGGCGTGCACAAAGTGCAGATGAAGGAGGCACATGTGTGGATGGATACGTGTGCATATAACACTCGTGGAGAAGGTTCGTGTGGGTGGGGTTCTTGAGGCATGCTTATTCTACTAGGGCATTTGAGCATATAACTTTCTTTTCTCCTGTTGCAACGCACAAACATTTCTGCTAGTGAAGAACTAAATATTGGTGCTATATTTCGTTAACGGAAATATTAATTGGCAAATATTCGCTTGGAGGGAGCTGCTAGCGAACGACCTTAAAGCCATTTGGTCCTCATCAAACGCATGGCAATATTTTTAAAGAATACACTTCGTCGCTTAAACATGGCAATTTGTCCGTAGCAAACGTTCGTTAGATGAACATGTTCTTTGTTAATCCAATAAGTTCAGTTTGTTGTATTTAAAATTCAAAATATCTCATTCTTATTAATTTTTATATTTCCTGCTACTATATAGTATTCCCTCCGTCCCAAAATTCTTGTGTTAAATTTGTCTAAATAGGGACGTATCAAGTCACATTTTAGTATTAGATACATCCATGTCTAGACAAATTTAAGACAAGAAATTTGGAACGGAGGGAGTACGTATTTACTAAAATTTCTAATATTTAGATACCACAGATGTGCACTCTTCTTGCCCTTATTATGGGTTAAATTGACGAGCCCGGCATCGCTCGCTATTATGGTCTAGTGACATTACATATGTGCGTGTTCATTAGCATCGCACCCATCACCAGCAGACTCATTTCAGTGTTCAACGCACAAGTTAGATATGGTCACGGCCATATTCATGCTTATAAAAGTGGTTGAAATTTACATTGGAACAACTGAACACATGAACTCCGCTTGAAAATAAAACAAAGGTATAAATTTATACACAGCTGCTGCATGAACTGGGACGAAGTGCCAGGAGTTGCCTTCTTAAAGAGTATACGGACAGGTGACGGTTGATACAAGGACAGCAGCAGGATCAGCTCAAAGCTCCTGTATAAGGCTGATGTTAATTATGCCGATAGGGGTTTTGGGCTGGTAATGCTCATCAGTATCGATTTCTTCAATCTCCTGTTTGTGTAAACAAAAAAGCCGAACAGATAAAGATGTGACCTTGATCTCATTAGATTGGTATTCCCTCTGTAAACTAATATAAGAGCGTTTAGATCACTAGTGATCTAAACGCTCTTATATTAGTTTACAGAGGGAGTAATAATCATTGTTCAAGAATTCGTCCAACTAATCAGTCAACGGGCCAGTTAATCGCTACTCACAGGGTGACCGAATCGAATAGCACATATTCATCGTGTTAACTTGTTAGGCCGATTAACCGCTGTTGACCCATTAACTTGTGGGCAAACAAAGCCCAAAAATTTCCCCTCTCGCTCCTCAATAGCTAAGGTTTTACCAAACAGTAGCATATTTTGGTATATTACATAACTAAGGGCATGAGAATATGGTATAAAATATAATTAAAAAAACTAGATATATGTTGGCAATTCCTATTTAATCTACCGATTAATGATCGACCGATTAATCCAGTTAATAGGCCAATTCACGGGTTAATCACTGCTCCCAAGCCGACCGAGCAGCTACCAGTTATCGATTTCGTGAACAATGGTAATAATTTGATTGAACATTACACAAATTCAAAACTAGATGAGGCCCAGGGGAACTAATACCTCCGACAGTACCACTGAGCTACCCAGGGATCCCCCAAATTTAAGGAATGGCTACTAGACCATAGATAGTTCTACGGTATTCATTTATTCATTTTCATTTATGCACGGAGTTAAACTCCTATATAACTTGAATATCTCCCATTGACATAAACGGGCATCTAGTGAATATATGGCTCAGAGGTTTCACATATATAAATACAAGAAATAAATAGAAAAGACAAAATAAATAGAAAGCTGCATTTGAGTGTGTATGAAAAATCTAACTAGTGTACAAGGTTGAGAGAGAATCCTATATACCTAAATAGTTGATCCCCACTTACTCAATTATCTTAAATAAGCCAACTCATCATGCTACCATGCATCCACTAAACTTAATTATCTCCTCATGCAACTATACCAACTCACCATGGCACTATGCATGGGAAAAGACACAACCTAATATGCACCATGCATGCTACTCATATTCAATAAATATTTTACAACTATATAATAATCAAATATAATAAATTATACTCCCTCCGATCTGAATTAATTTAGGCAGCCTCTATACAATGTAAATGGAAAATTGTATAGAGGCTGCGTCAATTAACTCGGATCGGAGGGAGTATATACTTTAGTTTCAATCTCACATTGCTAATCCAAATACTATTCATATTGCCAATTCTCATAGAAACAGCTGCATCAATTCCTGCAGTAACGCGCGGGGTATCATCTCTAGTCCAGATAAAATACCTGAACAATATCTTCTCCCTTAATAACTCTCCCAAACAAAATGATCTTGCCATTCAAGTCAGGAATTGGAGCAGTCGTGATAAATAGATCAAATCCTTTATTATTAGGACTCCTTGTAGTCCCGATCATGAAGGCCTCATGCTTTGGACTGCAAAAATCATGTAAATCCAGTACGGTTTTGAGAACAAAATCAGGTCTGCCATCACAATGGGTGCAAAGGGAATTCAATAATTGCACTATTCAGGAGTAAAACCTGAGAGCATTTTCTCCACTGGCTTTGGCTTTCAGTATCCATTCATGGGCAGCTCCATTCAAATCAAAATCACCACCATAGATTACCAAGTTTTTTATGACATGACGAAATGGCATTCCTTTAAAATAATCACTCTTGCTGTGCCATAGAAGAAATATCAGATGATAAATAAGTAAACAATGGATTGTTCATCTTGAAGAATTCTTAGCAGACTATGAAGTATTTTCCTCCCATCAACTTATTCAATGCTGGCAAAGTTCTAGTAGATAATCTAGTATTCAACCATGATAGCAATATTTTTGCACTAAGAACTCACTGCGGCATGTTTAGTACTTACAGTCCCATGGCAGTAAAGTTATACTCCCTCTGTCCGGAAATACTTGTCGGAGAAATGCATAAAAATGGATGTATATAGAACTAAAATACGTCTAGATCCATCCATTCATCCGACAAGTATTTCAGGACGGAGGGAGTACATCACAACCAATATATTTTTATTACTTAAGAACAAAGCTATGTTTCTTTGTTCAAAAGGATGAACATATTGAAAATGAAACATCTATATTTACTAACTAATGGTGCAAATGAGCTCATTAATTGCGAATTAACTGCATTAAGGTAAATGCAGTCTTCTTAGGACACAAAAATAAAGGAGTTTGTGGTAGAAATTTCAGTTCGTCAGGTAACTAGATATAAATTTCACAAGGATTTTAATCCACATAGTCAACATGCCGTTGTAGTTGGCCCTGGAGCAAAATATTGTGGTGGCGCTATGGAGACAGACACACCCCAGGGGAAGGGTCATAGACAGAGAAGCATCTTTGCAAAGAGAAGGAACAGGGTATACAACGGTATCTCACAAATAGAAGAGTTGCACTGAAGGTTGAACCATAGAAGTGCATCTCCTTTTGCTAAATGAATAAATTATACACTAAGTGTCCTCACCATTGCATGTAATGCTATGTAAATCACATAATCTAGTCGCAGTAAGTAATTTGAATGCTCACCATAAGTTGATAAATCTGTCCACAACACCAGCAGAAGCATCTTTGGATATTTCTATGGTAATTGAGCCTTTCAAAGTGTCCATTATCTGACAACAAGAAAACAGCAGCATTATATTCTTTGCACGTCACAGATGCTTTATGCAATACAAAGGGTGATTATATATTTGATTAAACCACTTCACCATGTGCAGAATGTATGGATTAGTTCAGAATTTATATTGCCAGGTTTTATGATGTGAACTTCTACATGCATGCGATAGCATATACTGCTTCTTGTGCTAATTCTATGGCAAATAATAAGTGGATCAGGGTACCAAATAAACATCTACACAGCACAGGATTCCAAGATAAAATATAAACATTGTGTGAGCAAGTTCAGAACTACTTACAAGCACTGTGTACAGGATATTTCAGTATTCACTATCAAATGTCAACCACATTTGCTGATACATGTCATGTCTTCAGAACTGTAACTACAGCAACCATAGTTACCGGATTCGTTGGAATGGGCTTCGAACCCTGATCCAGATCGATCAGTCTAGATCGGGCTTTGAGATCGGTATGGATTGATGGGAGTTCACTTCCGATTCATGGATCACAAGTGAACCCAAAAAAGTGATCGCTGTGGCACATATTACAGGCACCGCCCAGCTCTCCTCTGGTACCCAGGGCTATCTGGGTGATGATGGCTGCGGGGACATGGCCGCTGGTCATCACAGCTCCTCCTGTACAGCGCTGATACATACCTGGGGAAGGCTCCTCTCTTTCATCCACCAGATGCACGAGCACCACGGGACAGAGCAGGAAGGGAGGTGGATGCGTATTAAAGAGGAGGTGAGGTAGCGCAGAAGAACAGATGAAAGATTATGTGCCTACAGCAGCAAGGTAGAAGAAGATGTGTGCGTGTGTGGTGGCAGGGACCGCAAGGACTAGGATGCCTGGGCGTGAACCCAACAGATTAGGTTTTTATCTCTAAAGAGCCTGATAGGCTGTCTCGGTCTTTTTATTTCTTTTGGTACGTATGGATCAGGTATTCAGGTGTCTAATTAAGTATGTGGCCCACCTACTATATGCATCTCCTAAAGAGAAAAAATACGCTGCATAATGGAGTTGGCAAATCGAAATCATCATGTTCGAAATAGAATTAAAATAGTGTGCTCACTGAAAAGCACATATGAAATTTCAAAGCATGCCAACATGCTCTACTTTAAGCTGATCATCATATTATGCTTCAATTTTCTTTGGAAGTATTAACATGGTTTAGCTGTCAGTAGCAACACAACCACAGCAAGATATAAACATATATTCTACATCAATCCGATATATAGTTATACACATAATAAAATACCAACAAATCTAACCAAATTGACTGGAAACAACTTCAGTTATCAAAGAACTTACCACGTAGCTTGGGGTACTTATTTTTGTTGAATCCTCAGATCTTTCTATATTCTTCAAGTCAGGATGGAAATACACAAAAGAAAATAAGCAGTGAGCTTGAGGAAAACTCAAAACGGTGCCCGGGCTCATCTGCTCCCTCTCATAAAAAAATTCAAAAAAAATACTAGAAAAATTCAAAAAAATTCAAATTTTTTTGTGGTGGTAGATAATTTGACGCGTGAGGTGCGCCCCAAAATTCAACTTATTTGGACATCTGAGCAGCTCTCGGCAAAAAAGACAAATCGGGTCAAAACAGTGCGTGAACAGTGAACATTTTACAGACCCTGATTTTGTCTTTTTTGCCGAGAGCTTCTCAGATGCTCAAATGAGATGAATTTTGGGGCGCACCTCACGCGTCAAATTATCTACCACCACAAAAAAATTTAGAATTTTTTGAATTTTTCTAGTATTTTTTTTTAATTTTTTTCTAAACGTGGGTGCAGATGAGCCCGGGTGCAGATTAGCCGCACTCGTGAGCTTGATGTCTAATATCATTTCAATTGACAATAAGTAAGAAAGCAAGGGCCTGCACATAAGAGAGTGTGGTAATTCCGAAAGCAGCTTAAAAGGACATAATTCAGAGTTTGATGTCTACTATACCTTAAATTCATAATAAGGAAGCACGCAGGGGCGTTCACATCAGAAAAAATAATAATTCTAAAAGCAGTTTATAAGGATATAAATCATTTTGATTTTATTTTTTTATTTTTCTGCATTTTAATGTGAAAATGAACTAGATGATAGAAAATTTAGGACAAGAAACAAAAGGTTTCTTATGCCCATTCTTTACACAGAAGATATATCATAATTTCTACTATAAGTTAGGAGAACCAAATGGAAAGAACGTAAATAGTCACTTCAACATGCTACCAAATGTGTGATTCTTTTACTCATAAGGTTTATTCCTTGAGATCAATGATTACGAGTCGACGAGTCGTTGAGTCGTTCCGAGGTTGAGACTCATAGACTAATCGGACTAGTCTTAGACTAGTGCTAGACTAGTCGACAAAGTACTGTAGTAGTCAACTACCTAGTAGCAGTATGTAGTAGGAGTAGTATGTAGTAAACTGTACAGCACATTACAGTATATACAATAAAACCAGCAGTGCTAGCCAACGCTCGCCAGGCCCAGCCCAGTGCCGCTCAGCACGCCACCCCCAGCTGGCCCATTTGGGCCCAAGTAGCCAGCCTACTTAGCCTACTTCCCATCCCAGCCTCTGTAACCCTAGCTCCTGATCGATCCCGTCGCCACCGCCTGCGCCATCACGCACAAAAGCACGCGCGCGCACGACCCGCGCCTTCGGCCACCGCCGCCGACCACCGTCGTGCTCGTCACAGGGCCACACGCGCCTACGGGGCATGGCCATGGCCGCCGCACGAGCACGAGCTCCGGCCGGGTGCAGCACCTTGCTTCTCCATCCGCCGTCCCGGCGGCGAATCAGTGGGTGCTGGCAGTGGCCTCGTCCAGGCGGCTCGTTCTCATAGCTTGCTCTCCAATTTTCCCCTTCCAAATTTGAGGCGAGCGACTCAGACAGCAGGACTAGTCCAGACTAGTCGTAGACTAGTCTCTCGACCGCTCGACTCATCAAATTAGTCTACACGAGATTCGCAGTCGACACCACAGTTGCGACTCATAGACTAGTCCATCGACTAGTCTCGACTAGTATTTCGACTCATAATCAGTGCTTGAGATGTACAATTTCATTCAACTGTGGGAACTATAATTCATATTTTGAATTAAACATTACGCTACTACTATCCAAAGAAGCTAACAATATTCAAATGCTTCTTGAAAGAAAACAGAGACAACTTAATCATGTTCTGATGTAAAAGTACACACAGTGAACCGAGATATGTCGCTTCCATTCTCTTTAGAAGGCTCCATTTCATTTGTTTTGCAATTTTATAACACGCAATATGATTCAGTTCACCCACAGTATTGTTTGATTACAATGAAGCTATGGGAGAGTGCCATTTAGCACTGCTTAAGAAGAATGACAAGCATGACCAAAAAACAGTTTGGTTTCATGCCTGGGGGGTCGACCATGAAAGCCATTTTCTTGGTATGAGAACTTATGTAGAGATAAAGGGAGCAAAAGAAGGACCTGCATATGGTGTTCATTGTCTTGGAGAAGGCCTACGATAAGATACCACAGAATGTCATGTGATGTGCCTTGAAGAAACACGGAGCCCCAACAAAGTACATTACCATCATCAAGGACATGTACGACAATGTTGTGACAAGTGTTCGAACAAGTGATGTCAACATTGATGACTTTTCAATTAAAATAGGACTGCACCAAGGGTCACCTTTGAGCCCTTACCTTTTTGGTTCGATGATGGATGAGGTCGCAGACGATATACAAGGAGATATCCAAAATGGTGTATTCTCTTTGTGGATGATGTGGTGCTACTCAATGTTAGTCGGATGGTTTGGTCATATAAAACGCAGGCCGGGGTAGACCAAACTTGACATGGGAGGAATCCATAAAGAGAGATCTGAAGGGCTGGAATATGACCAAAGAACTAGCCATGGATAAGTATCGTGGGGAGAGCACGATCACCTATGGAGCAGGGTTGCCCCTTTGTGGTTTAGTGAGGGGGATGATCACATTGCACAAAGAGCAAAAACAACAGGGCAGCACGGCGATGGACAGCTCTCTTTTACCCAGGTTCAGGCCGCTTTGCAGCGTAAAACCCTACTCCTGCTATGGTGGATTGCACTGGAGGAAGACGAAGACATGGAGTGCTCAAGCCCGGCAAGTGTGCATCGGGGAGAGCAGCTACGCGTGTACAAGTCTTGAGGGATCAAAAGTTCGAACCCTTTGCTAGGTTGCCTCGGGCCTCCTTTTATAGCTGAAGGGGCGACCACGGTGCCAAAATAGTCATTATGGCTTGATTAGATAGCTAACATTGTTATCATACCTAACTCTGGCATTTAGGACTAAAGTGCATTAAATGCACTGCTAGGTGTCGTTATGAGGTTGAAGCCCGGCAAGCCTGCGGCGCCGCTTATCCATATGCTTCTTATTAGTGTGATACGCCATCGGGACGGGTGTCAATAAAGTTAACCTCTTCTCTAGCAGGTTGCCACCTACCCGACGGGATCCACCTAGCCACTTAGGAGCTCGACACCGCACTGATTAGTGAGTGGCATGCGATGAGGTGGAGCGGTGGCGTATTGGTGGGGGTTTGTCGTCATGGAGCCTGTTGAGCTCGGTCTTGTGGCTTTGGCGGCCCCGGGACCCTTGCCGGGGCGATCTGTACTTGGTCCCGGGCGTAGCCTCGACCCTGTCGGGCTCGCCTGCCCAGCAAGGGAGGCCTTCTTAAGGGATTTTCTGATCACCTTGGCCTTCTTAATGCATTCCTAGATCTCACGAAGAGCGGTTTCTCTAGCTCATCTTCAGTCATGTCTTGGTACTTAATGTATGTGCGGTCGTACGCCGGTGCATAAGTCAGGTCAGCAACCACACATGTTTGTTGCACTGACAGGAGCCCCCGGGCCTGGTGCACACATGCCGCCGGGCATCGTTGGGGTAGCCCCAACCAATGCATAGGCGTACACACAAATCTTACCGGGGCTGGCACTTGTACTTTTTGAGATCTTCTTTGCTTCTTCATTAGCCTGGACTTGGTCAGTTTCTAGGGGTCTCGTGGTACCTTCATATCCATACGGCGTGCGTCTCCCCTTTTGCAACCCAGGGGTGCTCACGCCCATGGGGATCCCATTATGGCACTTGTGTGTGAATGGTGGTAACTGCCATTTTACCTTAAGTTCACCACCACGCCTGCCATTTCCGCCAGCGTGCCGCATGCATTGTGCGGGGTTGATGGCGGATGCGTAGGGCACGGGAACGTGTGCCGTTGGAAGAATACACAACGCCCTGGATTGGTGTAGTGGGGCGGCCGATGAATCAGGACGCCGTCAGGGACGCAGGAGGCTGGATTGGAGGAGTGGGGGCGGCCGCCCCAGAGTAGTGGAGAGCCAGCCTCCCTCTCTGCTCCGCTATAAAAGGAGACATGAGGGGGTGGCGATGCTTATCCATCATCTCTTCCTTCCTCTTCCTTGCTTCCGCTTCCACTATGGCGAGAGGAAGGGGCCGAGCCCTTGCTTCGACAGTAGCGACGAGAACTTCCTCTCAGCACCTCGCCCTTGCTTCTGTGGCAGCCGCAGAGGCCGGATCCAGCGCACAAGGTGAAGCTGCAGGGCGCGGTAGGGGTCAACAATGCGCCCGCGATCGAGATGGGCGAAGTGGTGCACTCGTCGCGCCTCCTCCAGCTCCTCCCACACCAGCGGAAGGCCATCTGGGGGATACAGCGCTAGAGTTCATCGTCAAGCTGCGCGATCCTCCCAACAGTCGCCTGCGGCTCCCTCGTCCCTTTGCCAGGGTGATGGAGGTTGACCAGCCGCCCAGGCTAGGGTTGCGCATGAGCGGCTGCTGTAACGGCGCTGTGTGAGCGAACGTTGAGTTCCCCGCACCGCACGTCATGCTCCTCAGGCGTGGTTGAAAAACCTTCGCCCATGCCTTATCTGGCAGAAGGGCACGTTCTCCGCTTCAAGTTGGTGGAGGCTGATCTGCTCTCCATCAAGGTCTTCGGGCGTTCAGGTGCTCGCCTAGGGTGCTACGCGGAAAGCTCGAGCGATTGCGAAAGCACACCGATGGCGAAGACGGCGATGGCGAGCCCCCGGTTGTCAAGCATGAAGACGACGACTCGGACTTCGGTTGAGCACCTGACGCACTGTCACCGTCAGCTAGGCACCGGCAGCACCATCATCTGCAGCTGGACCCCGGCAGAGCAATTTGCCAGGGGTGCTTGGCCTGTTCGTCACCGCCACCTCTAGCTGGACCCCGGCAGGCTTCCTCATGGACTCCGGCTTCGTCTTCCCCGTCGGCGTCCCTGCTGAGTCGCGTTCCTCTGGTCCTGGCGAGTGACCAGGGCATCGCCTAGCCGCTCTCCCCATCCCCGGCCTCTTCTTCCTTGCTGGGGAGGCGCCCTCCCGATCTTGTCAG